CCACGGGCAGGGACACCTTCCACTAGAGCAGGTTGCTCCAAGCCCCTGTGTCCAAGCTGGCCTTGAACACTGCCAGGGATGTGTTCCTGTTTAAGGCCATCACCACCACTGTCATCACCATCATCACCATCATCACCATCCGCCCAATCTTGAGGCTTCATCATCATAGAATCATAGAACGGTTTGGGTTGGGAAGGACTCTAAGATCATCATCCCCACCCTGGAGCTCCCCGCCCCACACCATTTGGCTGCACTGGACCCCCATCCTGCCTGTGCACCCCCTCTTGTGCCCACTGCCTCCCCATTCCTCCCCCAGTGTGGTGGCACATCATCCCTCGCCTCTTTTAGCCCTTTTCCAGCACATTTTGAGGCAGGGAAGGAGAAGCCACCACCAGGAGCACCCCCCGCGGGGTGAAGGAGATGGGATTTCATGATTTCCAACCAAAAAAAACCCCTTTTGTTCAGCAAAACGACCCCAGGAGCTCTGTGTGTGTGTGTGTGTGTGTGTGTGTGTGTGCGCGCACAAGAAATTTAGGCCTGCAGCATTTTCCAATTATTCTTTTTCCTGTAGTTTTTTCCTGACCATCAATGTGTAAAATAGAGATCTAAACAGTAAGGCAACAGTAGTTTGTTGTCATGTACATGACAGCAGTTATACTGTGCTCTCACTAAGTGTGTTGCAGATACAGCAGAGCATTTAAATCACAGCAAATAGAATACAGAATAAAGAGGGACCCCCACGCGGGACTCACCTTGGCCAAGGCCACGTAAGGGAACTTGTCCATCTCCAGCAGGCTCTCCTCACCCTTGTGGTTCTGCAGCTGACCCTTGAGGATGCGAGCGGCCGTGACGGTGGAGACACCCATCCCTGCGGGACAGGGACAGGGATGGGCCGGCTCAGCCCCCCGGTGCCACCCGGTGCCATCCAGCACCCATTTACTGCACCCAACTTATCGCACTGCAAACCCAGTTTATGACAGTGCCCGGTTTATCACAGCACGTGATTTATTGAGAGCCCAGTTTATCCCAGCACCCAACTCACTGCGAACCCAGTTTATCCCGGCACCAAATTCACTGTGAACCCAGTTTATCCCAGCACCCAGATCACTGCAAGCCCAGTCCAGCACCCAACTCACTGCAAGCCCAGTTTATCCCAGCACCCAACTCACTGCAAACCCAGTTCATCCCAGCACCCAAGTTGCCCAGTTCATTGTACCTACTTTATTGCACTTCACCATAGCACCCTCTTTATTGCACCCACTTCACTGCACCCACATCATTGCAAACCCAGCTCCTCTTCCTCTTCCTCCCCCCCTGATGGGTGCTCTGGTCTCACCATCACCCAGAAAGAGGATGAGGTTCTTGGCCACGTTCTGGTTGAGGTGCTGGAGCCGCAGCGCGTTCCGCAGGGTCTCCTGCGCCTGCTCCCGCCAGTACTCAGGGTCCTTCTCCTTCTCTGTGGGAAAATCCGGGCTCCATCGCACCCAACAGCGCCCGCTTTGGGGTGCTGCCCACCCCAGACCTCACCTACCAGGGACCAGTGTTGCCGAGCAGAGCTGGGCGAGGAGGATGAGGAGGAGAAACTTCATCCTGCGGTGCTGAGCGGGGCTGGAGAGGAGAGAGCTGCGCACACCCTGTGCCTCAGTTTCCCCACTGAGACCTTCGCCCCTGGGCTCAGCCAAGCAAGGACAGAGGGAAAAGTCCCCTCCCTGGGCTGTCACTGATTGTCACTGGTGTGACCCCCTGGGGACGTGCCAGGTCCCCACCAGTCCCATGGGTGCCACCTCACTGGCACCAGGCCAGGGCTGGGGGGCGATGGCACAGACCCCACGTGCATGTGGTGCAGCAGGGTCCCCACTGCACGTTAAGAGTCCTCATCACATGGTGTGTCCCATCGGTGTCCCCATCCTGTTCCCATGTCCCAGTCCCATGTCCCCATCCCATGTCCCATCATGTGTCCCCATCCCATGCCCATGTCCCCATCATACGCCCATGTCCCCATCCCATGCCCGTGTCCCCGTCATACACCCGTGTCCCCAGCACATGTCCATGTCTCCAGTGCACCTCCATGTCCCCATTGCACACACCCCCCATCACACCCTCCTGTCCCCATCCCCAGCCTGCATCCCCACCACACATCCCCATCCCCATCATGTGCCCATGTCCCTATTGCACGCCTGTCCCCATTGCACACCCATGTCCCCATCACACCCCACAGTCCCCATCACACCCCTGTGTCCCTGTTGCACCCCCATGTTCCCATCACACACCCTGTCCCTGTTACATGCTCACATCCCTGTTGCACGCCCATGTCAACGTCCCCATTGCACTTCCATGTCCCCTTTGCACCCCCATGTCCTCACCCCATGTCCATGTCCCCATCACACCCCCGTGTCCCTGCACACATTCTTCTCCCTGTAGCACCCCTATGTCCCTGTCCCATGTCCATGTCCCCACCCCATGCCCATGTCCCCATTGCACCCCCATGTCCCCATCACACCCCCATGTCCCTGTGCACACTCATCTCCCTGTTGCACCCCCATGTTCCCATCACAC